ACAACACCTGTAGCAAAACTCTACATGACTGCCATGATCCTTCCCCACCTAACATACTGTATGACCAGCTTGACCCAGGTGAACCAGCTGGACCCAGGAGAACCAGCTGGACCCAGGTGAACCAGCTGGACCCAGGGGAACCAGCTGGACCCAGGTGAACCAGCTGGACCCAGGAGAACCAGCTGGACCCAGGAGAACCAGCTGGACCCAGGGGAACTAGCTGGACCCAGGAGAACCAGCTGGACCCAGGGGAACTAGCTGGACCGAGGTGAACCAGCTGGACCCAGGCGAATAGCACAACATTAAGGCCTATCCTGTCACTTTACAAACAAGCTCTCAAAGTTTTGGACAGAAAGCCTAAGCTATACCACCATTGCAAAATCCTGGACAAACATAACCTGCTCAGCTGGGGAAATATTATAAAACACACTGATGCATGTCTCATTTTTAAATTCTAAACGGCAAGGCACCCCCACCGCTCTGCACTTTTATATAGCAGAAACACTAAAACAGCAGAACCACAAGGTCTGCCCTAAGAGGGGACTGTGTAGTCCCTCTTAGGGCCAGTTCCTTTGGCAAACAGTGTTTCTCTGTGAGGGCACCTACACTCTGGAACACAATACCAATACAGATCAGGAATAACACCTCCTATCATACATTTAACCACTATCATAAGAACTGGCTTTTTAACAATCAAAAATGTGAACACTTTTGATTGTATCAAGGTATGATGATATTTCATCTGTTTGCATGTTTGTTTGTTCCTCTCTATTGTTTGTACTGATGGTTATTTATTGTTGTACTGATGGTTATTTATTGTTGTACTGATGGTTATTTATTGTTGTACTGATGGTGTCTGCTGAACTCTATTTAATTATGTTTTTATTTTCTAGTCTTGTGGTCATTTAACATCTTGCCAAGGACAACAGTTGAAAATTAGCCAGCTGGCTAATACTGGCTCATTTACAGTAATGTGGATTAATGTGCACTGTCCTTTAAATAAATAAACAAACAAACAAACAAACAAGCTGACTTCCATACTTTTGGAATTGCATTTGTGCTGAGGGAGAGGTTAAAAAGAGTAGTAAGAGGAAGAGCAATAAAATCTGCAGCTATCTTTAAAAAGAAAGGCTCTACGTTGTCCGGACCAGCCGGTTTCTTAGGATCTAGCTTAGATAAGGCTTCATGAACAACATTGACAGTAAAAGGAGTAAAACTGAAAGGGTTTTCCAACACACGTATTTCAGAGTCACGGATTGGGGTGTTCACAGAAGCAGAGTTAGTCACAGAATCAAACATAGAACCGCAGGACACAAAATGCTCATTAAAGCAATTTAACATAGTGGCCCTGTCCGATATAGAGCCAGATGCTGTGGTAAGGCACGGAGGTAGCTCATTACGGATCTCACCGGTGGATATCGATTTTATGGCTTTCCAAAATGTCCTAGGATTATTTAGGTTTTCTGTGGAAACTGACAGATAGTACTTAGACTTTGCACTTTTGACATTTGAAGTGAAGCTATTCCTTAGCTGCCTAAAACGCAGCCATTCTACCTCTGAGCCTGTAATATTTAATGCAGCCGAACCGTGTATTACAATGCCGTTATGTGATGACTTTCAAAGAGAAAAGCAAGCACACTCGGAATAAAGTATTATTTTATTTGTTTAAATGTTTTCGGTCTGTTTCCGGTATTTGTTAATGACGATGTGCTGTGAGATGTGAGACTGGAATTGCACAGGGGAAAATAACGTATCTTTAGATGCGGATTTTGTTAAACTAATATGTTTGCGCTGTGGATCAACACTATACATTTGACGGGGAAGGGGGTAGCAATAAAGATAACACCATTAAACAGTTACACAACATAACAGAAATAATATCGATAGCAGCGTCCCTAGCAACCACCTTGGTAACAATGAAAACGTTCTATGGACGCAATTTCCTGAAGTAATCTTCGTAATAACTAGCAAACTAAATATCATGTACATCCACTGCACACATAATCTGAAATAACAACTCATATTTCTCACATCAAATGACATCAAAATGCATTTTAATGGCCAAACTAACTTTAAAATAGGCATTTTACACCGAGAATAAAACGAAGTTCGGCCATGTTTTCTTTTTCTGCAGGGAGAAATTTGAAGATCACGTGACGTCAAACAGAGCACATGGTGTAGTCCAAACGATAGCTGGGGATTCTGGGTAGTGTAGTGTCTTCTGCCATCCTTTACTCCGAAAACATATTTGTTTCTCCGAATCGAAGGGGAAAAATACAAAAGCATTGCACACAATTTAAACCAATCAATGTTGTGTAATTAACAAGGATAATCTGGTGTTTTTTAGTCGATGAGTAGTGCAGATATCACTGTAAAATCAATCGACAGTAAGGCGAATACTTACTTCCGGGTGTACAATTCTCCGTTATCCAATGGGAATGGACGCTCACATTGCCTTTAAGGGCAGCCGACACAAACGAATGCCGTGCTTCCATGAGCGTCAAATCCCGCCGCAGATGGGAATACATTGCAATCAGTTGAAAGCTATTTGCGTCCCTTTATAAAGCTGAAGGAGCCTAGGAGCCTCACAACTGCACGCCACGGACACTGACCAAACGTCGCTCCTGGACGCTTAGGGAGTGAGAGTGTGTTGGTTTTGAGGGAGCATCTAAAACGTTAGCTTAGCCTAATCGATCCGATCTCCATTAAAAAAACACACATTTTAAAAGGTTTTTCGCCTGCTGTCTGCAGACTCGTCAAAGCATTAATTCATGGTTTTTACTAACCGGTATCAGTATGTTGTTATTCCGGCATCATTTTGAAACGTGTATTACAATGAAATCACGGTACAATATGTTCATGCTGTTGTAGTTGGTGTCTACCACAGTATTTACATGGAGATAAGCCCGGCTCCTTGGGCCAGCACGTCTTGTTTGAATGATGCGAGTAACACAACTGACAGCCGCGGTGAAACGCGAGTGATTAGAGCGATGCGAATACTCGCATCACGTCCAGTGTGAACGCAGCATTAGGTGTTGTTTGTGTACGGCGCGAAGTTGCTAAGGCTTCTGGGCAATCCCAACTACACCAAAAGGAGACTTTCCTCTCCAAGCTCTAAGAAATAGGGACTTGGCAGACAAGCAGTGGCCAGAGTAGCCTTGGCATGATGCCATGCTGGCGGATCCAATCTATGAATTTGCCGGAAAGCTCTGACCACCACTGATCATCACTACCAGCTCTTCAGCTCCTGAGAAGTTACTTGGACTAACTTGATATCTTTCAGGCTGTTGCTTAACATCTTGCCAAGGCGTTTGACTGGCTTTACTGAGACAGTTGGGATTGGTCTTTTTCATTGCTGAAGGAGCAGCTGTCCATTTTCCCTTCTTCAGTCGCAGTGACCTTGATTTAGTAAGAACCTCATCCTAGCCCAGGCAGTCAGACTCCAGCCCTTTGCAGGATCCACCTGCTTCCTGGCACTGACTCTGTGGTGACAGTCAGGTTATCCACGAAGGGCCTGATTGGTGGTTGGCATATCCCTGTCTTGGGCCGAGGGCCCAGCACTCTGATTCAGCAGACTCTGCTGAATCAGAGTTGGTACAGCCTGTGATTCTGACCTCCAGTCTTTGCAACTTTGATGTTATTCACCCTGCTGAGACTCATACTGAACTTACAACATTATGAAATAAGATATGAATAAATAAGATAAGTGAGTCTTTCCAACTGGATGAACTGTATTCAGCTGCATGGTGGGCTTCTTCTATACGAACACACCAATATACCCTGTGCACTAATGCTGAAAGTGCAGCCTCCTGATAGAATACGTCTGTGAGACTGTTTCTTGGAAATCATGTGACCCAAGATGGCACCTCCCCCTGCTGGTATTTAAACGCTCCCTGCTCTCTGCCTCCTCATCTTCAGAGACCAACAGCACAGGTAAGAACTCTTTGCTTCGGAATATATTCAGAATTCTGACCTATAGAGAGAATTATAACAACAAATGTTCAACTTGAAAAGGCGTGATATGTTGTCAGGATATCAATGTTGTTGAAACATTTAAAAAAGGACCTGGGTGTTTTGAGGCCCTAAAGGGACTAAGACTAAGAATACTTAGATAGGGTTACAACATCAATACTAGCATTAGTGCAAATAGTGCTCAAAATTAAGAATATAATTCTGATATTTACTTTAAAGGTGGGGTAGGTAAGATTGAGAAACCGGCTCGAGATACACTTGTTGTTATATTCCATGGAATGCTCTTAACATCCCGATAGCAATGAATATCTGAAGTGCTTTGACAACAAATCCATAAAAAAAATTCATCTGTGGAAGCCGTGGCGCTGTAGAAAAGTACAACCAATCCGTTTAGCCGGGCCGGCTAAACGGATTGGATTGCCGCCCTGTCTGTCAGCCTTCCATCGCGTGCACGCACAAATGTATCTCGTGCCCTCATTGGGCGTGCATTGCGCCTTCATGTGTGTTGGAGGAGGTGCTCTGTAAGGAAGTCTGAAGGAAGGGGCGGATTCTTTTCGGCTGTGTACTTTCAAATTTTAGTGCACTCGAGCCGGTTTCTGAAACTTACCTACCCCACCTTTAATTCAGAACTCTGTAAATATTGCAAGATACAGTAGCTGTGTTATTTTAACCAGCTCTCATAGTTTCATTAGTTTAGTTGAACTGTGTGCATTCTTTGCTCTGCTGTTTGGTTTTGTATTTATTTCAGACAGACAAACAGACACACAGACAGAGTGTTGTACAAATAGTGAGAAGAGAGAGAAATATAATACAATACACAACGTAAGGATGACATTCCTACTACAACAAAGGTTAAGATACTATTTTAGATAGATTGTCTTCCACCAGATTTCAGCTGTAATTACTGCAGATTTAACTGTGAAAACAAGGTTTTTTGTTAAATAGGTCTAAACTTTCACTTGGTGTCAAGTAGAGTGATTTTCAGATCTCTGTTAATTTAACTTGATTTTTTTTATCCAGAACATTCAACGGGTGCTCCATCCTCAAGCTGTTGTGAACCAGTCACCATGGAAACGTGAGTAATACTCATGATATATATTATGACTTTATTGCTTTAGCCTTTCACGCTACTAAACTATTACTTTATTAAATGAGTACATTCAAGATTCAAGGCTTTATTGTCATGTGCACAGCAGCTACAGTGTAGATATGCCAATGAAAAACTGAAGTCGCTCCTCCAACAGAGCAACATGAATATAGTGCGTCTTTATGGAAAAGTGGTTTTCAGAAACCCTCACCGTATCACGGGTCAAGTGCGTGGCTCCACCTTCCGCGAACCTTCATTGTGAAAGGCCAGCTGGTATACAGGAATAACAAGATCAGGTTCCTCCCGGACTTGTCAGCTGAAGTACACAAACAGCAATGGGAATTTTATGAAGCGCGGAAAAAGGTACGGAAGAAGGGGATCGACAAGCACCAAATCATTTTCCCAGCAAGGCTACTGGTGACCCACGGAGAACGCACACACACGTTCATCTAGCCAGCGGCTGTTTACTGGTTTATTGCAGGACTGTGAGAAGAGGCAGAAGAGTGGATTACTGATGAGACACCTGTACAAGCTGAACACAAACTGAATCAACCACTTTTTACTTTCTTCCTTTTTTTTAAATTTTATTTTATTTTAGGGACGCTACAAGTGTCTCACTTTTTGTTTATCTTCCTCATAGAAAGGGTATGAGATGGTATAAAGATGGCTCATTATTGACTGTGGAGGTAAGCTAATATGTTTGCCTGGTTAATGAGTGGCGGCTGGTGGAAAATATTTTTGGTGGGGCTATGGAAATGGCTGTGACCAAACCATATAATATAGGGCGGTCCGGGGGGATCCTCCCCCAGAAGAATCTTACATTATGGCTTCTGGTGATGTTAGAGGGGGGGGGGGGGAGGAGGACAAATTGAGGCTTACAAATATGAGATCATCCATAATCTTCAGTGTGGTTAGCTATGAATCATCCAAAACTGTGCAACAGTCCAGTAGGCCCACACAAACTGCAGAACACTGGTGCTTTGGGAACACTCAAATGATTTAATTCCCATTTAAAATCAGGAGACTAAATACGAAGTGTGTGAGTGTCGACAACTACTGTAGCGTCACCTTGGATACGAGTCCAAACAACTCACAGACACACAGGCCAGGGCGCTGACACGGCGCCCTTTGAGCATCAGATCTTACGACGCTGATTGGCTGAAATTATGTTTGGGCGGCATAGTATACAGATAGCAACAGTCAGCTTGTTGGCTGCTGTTGCTCTGGCTGAGGGCTCCTTTCTACCGCCCGGACGAGAGAGGGTAATGATACACGCTGCGGCCAGGCAGGAAACATGTGACTTATCAGTAACTTTAGACATCGTAAAACAATTTTAAACGAGATTTTATTGTGGATTATACATTTTACTGATACCAAATAATATTTACCTTGTTCATGAAAAATAAAAATAAAAATATATTTTATTTTTAAATATATTCTTTTATTTATTTTTTATTTTTAATGACAATCAAACATGTGGGAAGAGGGTGGGTGGCACCACTAGCGCCCCTATGGGCCGGCCGCCACTGGAAAGCCTATTGTATCTTGTAAAATGGTAAGGCGTGTGGCGCAGTGGATAGAGCCTTGGTGTTGGGATCAGGTTCAAACCCCACTGCAGTCAGCATGTCGTTGTGTCCCTGAGACACTTCACCCCAAAGTGCTCCTGTGGGGATTGTCCACAGTATTGAGTATGTAAGTCGCTTTGGATAAAAGTGTCTAATAAGTGACATGTGATGTAATGTTTTTACAACCATAAAAACCTCATATGTTTCCCTTTGTTTTTATAATGTGAACTGGAAGAAGAGGACTAACCACTGTCTGGCTTTAGAGTTTACCTCCAATACGCAATGAACACTTGGACAAATATTATGATCAACATTAATGCTTCTTTTGTTGGATATCACGGTAGTTGGAGGAGCAACAATAATTGCTTTGGAGGTGACAGTGGCCGAATATACTGCCTTAACATTCCTCCAGGGGTGGAATCCAAATAGTAAATATCTGCGATAGCAGTAGGCAATGGAAACGCAGGATGTCTGTGCCATTGTATATATATATTCGGTTAACGCGACCTGGTGGGAACATACACGGGTGTCTGCTGTTGCTGAACTTGGGGATAACACTGTTGTGTCTGGGGCTGCTGAAATTGTGTAGTAGTATATTCCAATACTTGTGGTGGGTATTGCATTTGTTGTTGCGGACAATCTCTGGACCAATGGCCCAGCTGATTGCATATGTAACATCCCTCAAACCGGAAAACATTTCCTCTGCCTCTTCCTCGGAAACCTCCTCTTCCTCCTTGTTGGTTCTGAATCCGATTCTCTGGCACTACCTGCGTTTGAACCGTTGGCGGTGGCTGCACTACGGTCTCAGTTAGTATGGCCTTCTCTGCCTCGCCGTTTTCTTGTTCTTATTAGCTTCGGTATCTTTCTCAGCTATTTGTATTTTCAAGAGTCTCCTAGCTAGGATTTTGTCGTCTTCATCAATTTCTGTCTTTGTTGTCTGGTATCTGATATCGTGGTGAATGAGATGTTGCCTCCATTCTTCAGCGGGTTTAGTGTCTAATCCCACCACTTCTTCCAGGCGTGCCTGCACTGATGGGGGAAGGGCTTTAATGACAGCGTTCTTCCACAACATTTCAACAGGTGGAGAAAGATCATGTCGTTCTCCCGTGCTGGCCTCCCACACTCCTTCACATCTCTTCAAGACGGCATGCATGTCTTCCCCCGGCTCCTTCCTCAAGCTGCTGAGAGCATGTAAACTGCGTGTTGTCGGGTAGATGTGACGAATAGCAGCCCAATAATTCGATCTGATGTAGTTGAATGAAGTGTCATCTGGGTCTTGCGTGCAATTGGCCTCGGAATCTATTGCTCTTGCCTCCAGTCGTCCTTCAATCCGTCCGAGCAGGGCCCTCATGTCTCCCAAGCACAGGTGGTCTTGGGCTGTGTACCTCTCCAGATCATTCACCCACTTCTGACCTCCTTTGGTGAGTGGAGGTAGTTTCCCCACTAATGCTTCCATGTCCCTGTGAGTCCATGATTGGTATTGAAATCCTCCTTTTCCAGCTGCTATCAATGGCATGACGCTATGTGCGGTACTCCTGAGTCTTTCAGCTATGGGCCCTGTCCCAGTTTGTTGTTGGTTGATTTCGTCGCCACTGCTTTTCACTGAGGGTGTTGCAAGACTCTGTTGTTGCTGTGTGTGTTCCAGGTATACTGAGTTTCTGCTGGTTACAGATTGTGCACTGTCGTTCTCCATGTCCAATACATATATTATTAAATTAACTTAACAAATTGTGAACAAAATTAACATAGCTTTTTATTTAAATTAAATAAATAATATTTCACATCAAAAGAAACAACAATGTTTTAACAAATCGTATTAAATAATCTGATGACAGAATAGCTGAAACGTTAACATAATAAATAACTCAGTTTCCTCTAATCATTAACCCATGTTTGTATAATTTTGTTAACTCCGTGTGTTGCTGACGTGGAAACGTTACTCGTGGATGGGGCTACAGAGCTACTAGAAAGACAGTCGAACCCGGTGCATTCCTCCGTCTGGATGTGGAGCACTTTTGATAAATGTTTAGACAAATTGCTCGTGTTCCCGCCCTCACATGCTAAACTCTTATTGCACTTTTGGTAACGAGCATTGTCCACCTCAAGACATTTAACCACACCTTGAAATGCTTAGCTCTCTCCGCCATCTCCGCCGTGTGTGTGTTGCATGCATGTAGCAGCCACCAGGAATTTTGAGCCCCATGAAAAGATATCACATTGGTTACTTAACATTTTTTTTCTTAATGTTCTAAAATTGTTTGACTGTCAGTCATGGGCCCTTAGAATCGTCCTAACTTTTCAACCCCTTACGGTGTGTGTGTGTGTGTGTGTGTGTGTGTGTGTGTGTGTGTGTGTGTGTGTGTGTAGCAGCCGCGTGTGTGTAAACTGCCCCGCCCCCTCGCACACAGATAGGAGAGAGATCTCGCCTGGAAAGATCGAAAATACCTCATTGACGATTTTTTTTGGTCTTTTTGCATATTATAAACGAGTTGGCGACACTAAAACTGCGATATAATGTTTATGTAGCAATAATACATATGACATATATTTTTTAAATGTCTCCAGTAGCCTACCGATAAAAAGACCGATAACGTTGGAGCGTAAAACACACGACACGTGATGACGAATTATGGGCTCAGAACAGTCTCATAATACACACATGCACACAGAAGGATTCACACTTGTGTTTTTCAATGCACACACAAATGTGTTCCGTTTCATATTCATGTAAATAAAATCCAATTACAGAAAAAAGTTTTACATGTGTATTTTTGATCCTCACATATTTGTTTTCCGTGTAAATCCCCTGCACCTGCAAACACAAACCGCTTTCTGTGCACGAATCGCTGTGCATTCGTGTGTGGGTTTTTTGAGACTCCCCTGACGGTCAGCCGATTCGTACTTGTAATTTTTTCTATCTATAGCCAATCAGATGTCTACTCAATTCTAAGCCAATCACATGAGCGCGCCCCCACGAGGGTAGATTTCTTGCGTTCATGACGTAGCATTTCATGTACGCATTTTGCGATGTCTGGTCAGCTCGCTAAACAGAGGGCGGAGCTTCAGGTGATTATGCAGAGCTGCGTGTCTCCGTCAGACTCAGCAGCTGATCTCTCTCTTGCGTCCGGTTATACTTCACTCGCGTTTATGTCCATATCGATCAGATCCAGCTCTCCTGATCGGCCTTTATAGAGAGCACCGATCAAACTATCAAGAGTGAATATCGGCCGATAATGACCGGCGGGGCTCCCCCCGTTGACAGTTCACTGTCTAGCACTGGCTTCGTAGTGCACTGATCGATTAGGCTAACCTGTAGCTGTTCCCTTCACACTCACAACAACTTCATACAGACATAAATAAAGCAGCTGTATTCGTCACACAGGAAACGGTTTTGCCTGCCGTTTTTGTGAACACAAGCATTCA